TAATTTTCTGATTATCTCATAAATATTAATTATTATTATTATTATTGTTATTATTATTATTATTATTATTATTATTATTATTATTATTATTATTTAGTTAACATAATTATTACTCTTTTACTAATATAGTAAACATACATCTGAAATACATCCCGGTATTTCCGAGTCTAGGTTCGGGTTTCGGGACCGAAAATACTTCACTTTAATATGATTATTTTATTAAAGTGAATTATTGTACAATGTGTCACTTTTTTTACTAAAGTAATCCATAGTACCTTCTTGGAGTCCAGGTTTCGGGCAGGAATATTGACATGACTTCTAATGTATATGATAACAGATACTTTATGGTCATGAATGGATTTATTCGGTGTAAACACCGAGGATACCCTATGAAAGTCTGAAGAAGACTTATTTCCAATGGGGTTCTTCTAATGGTGATTATGCAGACACGGAGAGTCTCTTTATATACAAATAGGCCTATTCACAAAAGAGATAATATGGGTCTATATAGCTCTGTCCTTCTAGAGTAGGTCCAGAAAATCATTACACATGTTAAGAGTGCTATCTGAACAAAGACGGAGGACCATCACAATTCGTTTTTTAAATAAAGTGAATAAGATAGTGTACTGCAAAAATGATAGAAAAATAAATTGTTTAATAATGCCATAACCAGATGAAATGCGATGCTTATTCCTCCATGAATAAATAAAGTGCAAGAAACAAGAACTCATTATATAATGGAATATGAATAACAATGACTTATAGCAATTACGTTATATTTATACGAGTTGATGAGTATAGTGAAATACAAAAGGCAGGAAAATTTTGATTAGGTATAGACTAATTGAGTGGTTATATATTGTATACCAATAGTAATATTTTCAAAGAGCGAAGCGATCAATGTGGTCTTCAGGAACACACAGATCAAAGGTTCTGATATTGTGGAGGACAAATTCGAAAGATGTGTTCATCCTGTTTTTTAATACGTCCCGAGCAGAACGAGCAATTTCGAGCTATCAATGCATGGTATTAGATTGTTCGTAAGGGTGCGGGGCCTTTAAAGATCGGGAGCCCTGTTTCAGTGAACCGCCTGAACCTCTGAGGCAGATGAATGTAGGATTTGGTAGTAGGGGCTGCGTGCAAGGGCGCAGATCTGTTTTGAAGGGTGGGGTGGAGGAAATTTTGTGGAAATAGTACCTGTAGATAGCCGTACATGACACTGTTATATACCATAATAATATTCATTATCATCACATCACCGTTATATAGTCAAAATGAAGCGTCAACAAATTCTCATGACCTTTTATCAACGATTATCGGAAACCTCAGAGACCTACCGGTAATTAATATGCAGGGATGGCGCCAGGATTTGCCCGACGGGGGAGGGGTCCAAGG